GAGGTAATAAGATATTGTTATTATTATTGCCATTCATRCTTTTTATATTATCWYTGATAATATTTARCTATCTTTGAAGATGGCRCAGAAACCTTGAARTAGACATTGTTGTTAAGGTTTGATYKTTGTTGTTGAGAAATTGTATTAATSTATTATCTTCTTATTTCYGTCATTAGATGATACATATTGCTGTAGTATGTGCTGGTCATGATACCACAAGACAAGCAATAACACTCATTAAGTCYATTATATTCTACCGTCGCAATCCTCTTCATTTTCACTTTCTCTCRGACACAGTATCTGAACTTATTCTCTCAACATTGTTTAAAACATGGCAACTACCAGCAGGTCAGTATGTTTTATATACTTATGTTTCTATAGTTTATGGTGTGCATAAAGTAGGAGGAGAGGAGGGGTGGAGTTGAGAGTATTTTTTGTAAGAAATCTCACGTTTTCTTTATGTAATTTTTTTGATTTCCAGTTGACACAGATTTTTATCCCATATCTAAATTACTGGTAAGCATTTGTGGATTGCAATAGACCTAATCKTCTGGCATATTGCTATAAATGTTTCCACCCAATTCAAACCACCTTGGAGTAGGTTTCATTGTTTGTTGTATTTCCATTACACAGTTGAATTCTTAGAAACAAAAGTTGTTTTTCACGTAGGATTTGAATTGGGTGGTAAAGTACATGACAAAACATTGACTGGTTAAATAGGTCTATTGGAATGAATTTTTGGGATAACTTTTGCTTGTTTTGCTTGGTCATGTTCTATCTTTTAAGTAAATTATTATCATTCTTTATTTGAAAAGGATAAAGTCAAATGGGTCCCCAACAAACATTATTCTGGYGTGTTTGGTTTAATGAAATTAGTCCTGACAGAGGCGCTGCCTGAAGCACTTGATAAGGTAGTTATTAGTAAACAAAGTAGATTACTGGTGCTAACAATGAGCAAGTGGTCAAGATGTTTTAACAAAAAATACCAGGCAATAAAAAAGTTATGTATTTCAATTCATTTCAAATATATTAAATTGAACTTTAATTTCCTTGACTAAAAGAAGAGAAAAATACCACCAGCTGAGCAGTACTCATACTAGATTTTTACGTCAGGTTATAGTCCTGGATACAGATATTATATTTGCATCCGACGTCGCTGAATTATGGAGATTTCTTGATAACCTSACAGGAATGAAAGTAAGTTTTCTCACAGTAATTCTTCTTGATTTTTCACACGYTAACTTTCWRSGAATTATATGATTCTGRCCATTTTTTCTTTCATAAGGTGATAGGTTTGGTTGARAATCAGAGTGACTGGTATCTTGGTAAACTATGGAAGAACCACAAGCCCTGG